TGAATATCCTTCAAGGTATATAATCCAGAGTCTTGTGCTGCAGTTTTCCTTCTTATAAGATGGTGAAAAGCCCCTGCTCTCCCCATTTGATCTAGTGCCTTGGTAGACATGGAGAAAATGTCTTTAATTGCTTGAACTGTGTCCGCATCTTGACAAGTTATAGAATCTAACAACGTTCCTAAAGCTTGCTGCATGTAGCTTAATGAAATAATACCCATACCAGCAGCCATCTGTCCCTGATATGCCAAAGTTTCAATACTTTTGTACGGCTGGGAAATTAAATGTTTACTTTTCCCCCAACCTTTGGTTTTATTTCCGTGTTTTTTTCTTAACATTGGTTCTAAACTGTCATCTAGCCCTGGAACTTGTAGAAATGCTGTCGAGTTTGGATGAACAGGGAAACATTGTCTATATTCATCTCTATAAGCAGACAAGCGTTCAGGATCAGTAATTCTCCATGACTTTTTCAAGATCTCCTCTTGTGTTTTGTCTAAAACTAATCCAGTTTTTTCTTCCTCTGAAGAAGAAACATTGCCAAAAATATCAGTTAGAGTTTTTGTATGTTCGTCACTTTTATTGATCAAGTTCTGAAATCTATTGTTGTTGTTGCTGTCCAACTTATGTTGATTGTTATCAAAATCATGGGCAGCCATAGATTCCTCTTGTACTGAGGATTCGTTATCACCCAATAGCTCACGTACTTCTCTGACACTTGGAGCTAATGATATCATATCGTCCATTTCAGGCACACTTAATGTCCCTTCAATTTGGACTTCACTTTCCAAAGGTATAATCGGACGCATTCCAGATGAATCGTCTACATTTGATACCATGGGCTCAGGTCTCCGCGTGGATAAACCACCGGTATCCTGATCCGCTAACGAATTATGATACACGTTTGTCCCGTTTGTCTCGTGCACATTATGAGAAGCTGTATTCTCTAAAACACTGCTGGACAAAGTTTGAATACTTTCTCTTAGAAAATTCATCATAGTGTCTAACCTTTCGTTGACTCTGTTTTCTAATTGTTCCATTTTCTCGTTAGCTTTGCTGGAGGATTTCCTCCCGGACCGCGTTTTTTTCCCTTTGGCCTCCATTACGGTTTGTAAATTATGGAATTCCGAGCCCGAATTTAATTCGTCGTTCGAAATAATACTGGCTTCTTCCATACTTAAACTAAGAGCATGAGAGAGTATCTATACCAATACCTTATACAAATACAAAGTATTTGTATCACTCCGTGGCTGAGACAAAGAAAATCTCTGCCAAGTAAAGTATGAACGTTCTGTTGCACGCCGGAAGATGAACTGATTTGGGCAAGCACCTGAGATGTGATCTCGGTCTTATAAGTGTTTGAATCTTATTCTTTTAAACGCTTGCCCGCGAGTTATGAACGTTAATAAGGGGAAGATATCCTAATGTATATTTATGACTGGTAAGTATAACGAACGAAATAAAATCAAATTTATTTATGAATGTATAAATAATGTAATGATAAAAATGTCTAAAATTTCCGCTAAAAGAACCCTCTTTCTCTTTTTTTGAAAATCTTTTCTTTTCTATTTATCATTCAAACATATTTGCAGAATATGTCTTCAACATTTTAGCAGAGACAGTGATAGTTTCAGGAATACAGCTTATGAGAGAACATAACTGTTCTTCATTTAATTTCGCTAAGTCATCAATATTGTACCAATTTTTGGCAACTTCAAAAGGGGGGTTAAAGGCTTCTTGACCACCTCTGACAAAACAACCTCGACTCTGTTCTACATGTGTCTAAGAGACCTCTCTTTGAATGTCACTGTCGGTTAAACTCGGTCATATCTTTTTAATCGTAGGGAAGATTTATTCATCAAATAAAAATCATATTCATACATCGTTCACTCACTGTTTGCTCTGCATTTGTTTACGTTCGTTGTGTTTGCTAATGGTTCAAGTGGGAGAGTAGAATGTTTCAGGGACTTAAGCTGTTCGACAGAAGAAGTTGAAAATGTTTAAATGTTAACGCACAACGACAGAGAAAAACAAATGCAAAAGGTCACCTGAGTTCTCTACCATTCCCAGGTTTATTTTATTTTACACTAAAAACTAACTTAAGACAAGGTAGCTCTTAATCTGAAAATGAAAATACATACCTTCCTGTCGTTTCATGGACTGGTGTTTTTTAAAAGGTTGTTCTTTTCTGGTTTCTGGTAGTGATATATTCACATCTGGTGGAGCATTTTCTGGAAAAAAAATTCAAAAAGTGCCCTGACAGCATAATATGCCCGTCAAACAATTTTAATAATAAACAGTTTAGAGTGCAAGAAAATCATGTCAACCTTGATTCAAAGATTTCCAGGATTTTTCCATTCCTTAAAATATTTGATCTCCTATGGTACATTATCGTTTTCTATAGTGGTTGTGTTAGACCTTGCCAAATGCCCATCATATAAAACGATACCAAATTAATTTTAACAACCTAAATTTTACCAAATTAATTTTGAAAATAAAAGGCTGGTCATATCAAATGACATAAGCTATATAAGATGCTCTACAGAAATGATTGAGAGGCTAGCCTTCTTGAACTCATTAATTAATCTTTAACATGTTTAACTGGATGCTTGTGGACTCATTACTCCCAAGGGTTGAATGGATCTTCATTATCTTCCATAAAAGTTTATTCAAAAAAATACTTTTTTGAGATTTAATGTCAGACAGGTTTAAATCTACAATTTAACATGCTGATTCCAACACCCCCCCCCCCCACTTTAGAATTAATTTTGATAACATTTCATCGGATTAGTATATTATGCAACATCATACAGTAAAACTCATTTAGTACGAACACAGATATCGCAAATTCACAGATAAAGCAAAGTTATCTTTGATCCCCAGCTATGTAAATTTAAAGAATTCCTTAATATACGGATATAACGAATTAAGATTATAGCGAAGTAATTTCATATACGTCTGATTGACATCCGTATAACCATGATGACTGAGTTTTACTGTATTAGTTTTGATTACTTTCATCGAATTCATTTTCAAACTTATGACAACCAACAAGAACTATATTTAATCCAAAAGACTGACCTATTTGCCTAATTCCCAAGGGATATTTCAACTGCTTGATCAATAATGCTCTACCATTTAACTCATTAATGTCTCCCTAATTTGACATGCAATTTTCTGAATCAAAATTCTTCTTGATTAAGCAGTGCTTCAAATAATAACACTCATGGGAGAGGTGGAATTTCTTATAATGAAAATAACATTTGTTATAGATTTCTGTAAAGTTTACGCTGAATTTTTTTTTTCTTAATTTAACAAATTTTAAAATTTCATTTAAATGAAAGGTCACAGTGACCTTGAAATAGGTGGTGACATACCCTGTACCTAAGAGGCATAAACTGGCCAACTTTTATGATTCTAAGTATAAGAGTGGACAATATTTTTCATATTTGGCTTAACACACCTTCCACCCAAGATGTATCAGCTGACAAAGTTTTATAAATCTAGGTCTAATAGTGTTAAAGTTATGAGCCAGACAAGAAAAAGCTATCAAACACACAGACGGACATGATGCTAAAACATAATATGGGCATATCAAAAGATTAAACAAACTGATGACATTATACACTTAAAAGAGAAAAAATACTCCATAGGATTTCATTTTCTTTTTCTTAACATGGGCTCACATTGGGTTGAGTGATAGAACAATATCAAATACCGTTTACTGCTGTAATTTAAACAAGAGGCCCATGGGCCACATTGCTCACCTGAGAAGCTTTGACCATTCTGTTCTTTACTAGATTTCCCCCTTGTAATACATATTGTGACCCCAACCTACCCTACTGATCATAATTTAGACAGTTTGAAATCTACACTATCCCAGGATGCTTCCACATAAGTTTCAGCTTGTTTGGCTCAGTGGTTCTTGAGAAGAAGATTTTCAAAGATTTTTCTTATATATTTCAATGTAAAATTTTGATTCCCCATTGTGGCCCCGTCCTACCCCCCGGGGTCATGATTTGAACAATTTAGAATCTACACTTCTCAAGGATGCTTTCACATAAGTTTCAGCTTTTCTGGCCCAGTGGTTCTTGAGAAGAAGATTTTTAAAGATTTTTCCTATATATTTCTATGTAAAACTTTGATTCCCCATTGTGGCCCCGTCCTACCCCCGGGGGTCATGATTTGAACAATTTAGAATCTACACTTCTCAAGGATGCTTTCACATAAGTTTCAGCTTTTCTGGCCCAGTGGTTCTTGAGAAGATTTTTAAAGATTTTTCCTATATATTTCTAAGTAAACCTTTGATTCCCCATTGTGGCCCCGCCCAATCCCTGGGTGTCATGATTTGAACAATTTAGAATCTACACTACCCAAGGATGCTTCCACATAAGTTTCAGCTTTTCTGGCCCAGTGGTTATTAAGAAGAAGATTTTCAAAGATTGTTCCTATATATTTCTATGTAAAACTTTGATTCCCCATTGTGGCCCCGCCCAATCCCCGGGGGGTCATGATTTGAACAATTTAGAATCTACACTACCCAAGGGTGCTTTCACATAAGTTTCAGCTTTTCTGGCCCAGTGGTTCTTGAGAAGAAGATTTTTCAAGATTTTTCCTATTTATTTCTATGTAAAACTTTGATTCCCCATTGTGGCCACGCCCAATCCCCGGGGGTCATTATTTGAACAATTTAGAATCTACACTACCCAAGGATGCTTTCACTTAAGTTTCAGCTTTTCTGGCACAGTGGTTCTTGAGAAAAAGATTTTCAAATATGTTCCTATATATTTCTATGTAAAAATTTGATTCCCCATTGTGGCCCTGCCCAATCCCCGGGGGTCATGATTTTAACAATTTGAAATCTACAATATCCCAGGATGCTTCCACATAAGTTTCAGCTTTTCTGGCCCAGTGGTTCTTGAGAAGAAGATTTTTTAATGACCCCACCCTATTTTTGTCTTTTCTTGATTATCTCCCCTTGTGAAGGGATTTGACCCTTCATTTTAACAATTTAAATTCCCCTTTACCCAAGCATGCTTTGTACCAAGTTTGGTCAAAATTGGCCCAGTGGTTTTTGAGAAGAAGTCGAAAATGTGAAAAGTTTACGGACAGACAGATGGACGGACGATGGACACAATGTGATCAGAAAAGCTCACTTGAGCCTTCGGCTCAGGTGAGCTAATAAAAACATTAGAATACATGAATAAATGTCATAATTATATCACAGTATATAAATATTGCATGTAGTTGAGTGTAACATTAAAAATTTTCACCCCAAGAAAACCATTGTCAACCGAGGCGCAGCCGAGGTTGACAATGGTTTTCGAGGGGTGAAAATTTTCAATGTTAGACTCAACTTCATGCAATATTTATTATATTATACTGAATGTTTCATACAAATACATATTACAGTGAACCGTGCGCACATAAATTCCGCGCAGTCGCTATTTTTTGGAGTACCACCCGTCGTCAAGCAATGTTGACTGTTGCTACACAGGAGGGCGTGACTTCATTATTCAGCGGGTAGTAGTGTTTTTTATCAAATGTTTCTCGACGAATCAGATTCAAGTAATTTACATGAAAGTATAATATTAGAATATATTAATAAGATAAAGTTGACATAATAACCATGCCAAGGGTCCAAAATTTAGCAAAGGACATCAGGATTAAATTTAGTTCTGAAGGGGTGTACAATCCGTTAGATATAAACAATCAAATATTTTTGGTGGTTACACAAGACTTGGAGGAAAGTTATTGATATTTTGAAATATTTTGCATCTATACTATCTTATAATGCTTTCATGTTCTCTTCTGACCTCAGGTGTTCTTGAGAAAAAGAATTTTTAAAAGAATTATATCAATATTTCACAAATTATTGATCATCTTTCAGGGAAAAGATGGCCCTTGATGGAAACCAAGAAACATGAATCCCCTTCACAAAAAATATTTCTTGACAAATTTGATTGAAATTAGTTGCAATATTTCTTGAGAGGAAGTCAGAAATGTGAAAAGACAGACAAATGCCAGACAAAATGTGATCAGAACTGCTCATTTCAGTACTTGGATAAAAAGAGCTATAAATAACCTTTCTCCTCCTCAGATGGTCTGTGCTTTTTTTGAGGTGGATTCTTTTCTTTCGATGAACTTGGACCTGACAATGCATACAGAAGAAAAATGAAACAAACTGTTCTTCATTTAAGGTAACAGATGTGATATGCTCTTTCCGATTTGAAAACCCAAAATTAATTTAAACACTTTCTTGACAAAAATTTAAAGTATTTCCATCCTTACAATTTCACGGGTTCAAAGTACATGTAGTAAAACTGCATTTTTTCACTGAATGTAGCTGATCAATGTTTCGAGTGTGTTTTTAATGGTTTAACTGCACTCACCCCATAAAAAAGGACAGTCATCCAAACTTCAAGGGTTACGAAATTATAGTTTATTTGGAAAATTCTTCTTACAGATAATGTGAAATATGAAAGTTCTGTCCAATTTCATTCAAAGATATGACCATTTTGTTCAAGTGGCAAACAAACATACTGAAACATACATGATATAGGTCCCCTCAACAGGGGACAGTAATCACCTTCCTGTTCGTTAAATGGTCTTTTCATGGCTGCTTGTCTCTTATCAAGTGGTTTCTCTTCTGTCTCTTGCTTTGAAACACTTGGACCTAAGGATAAAAATGAAGAATAAATTAGATATTCAAATATTATGAAGCTCATCTCCATGAATATTACCTATTAATATAAACTAGAACTGTCCAAAAAAGACAAAACACCTCCAGCTGGGTTTTTTTTTTAGAGGTACCAAATCATGAATATTCTATGGATCTAAGAGAAGAGAGAAATGCTTAAACATTTAAAGTGCAAATGTAATTGCTCATTATATTTTTTATGAATGAAACGAAGGTGAAGCCTATTAAAAAAATAAAGACTAAATATACAGACCAAACACTTTTGAACTTTTTCTGTCAGTGACCTTGAACTTGCATAAATGAACTTGGTTCAAAGTCATGAAACAACCTCAGGTCATAAGCAATCTTTGTGTAAAATAGGAACTCACCATGTTTATCCATAAGACAGATATAGACCAGACCTGAATTTTGATTTTTTTTCTGTGTCCTTGAACTTGCACAAATGACCTTGGGTCAAAGTCATAACACAACTTCAGGTCATAAGCAATCTTTGTGTAAATGAGGAACCCTCCAAGTTTATCCATAAGAAAGATATGGACCAGGCACAAATTATAAACTTCTTCCTTTCAACGACCTTAAAATTGCACAAATGACATTGTGTCAAGGTCAAGACACACTCTTAGGTCATAAAGAATCTTTGTGTGAAATAGGAACTTACCAAGTTTATTCATAAGCGAGATATGGACCGTACATGAATTATGAAATTTTTCTTTCAGTGTCCTTGAACTTAAATGACCTTGGCTCAAGGTCATAACACACCCTCAGGTCATAAGCCATCTTTGTGTGAAGTAGTACATTCAAGTTCTTTCATAATAAAGATATGTATCAAACATGAATCATAAAATTTTTCTTTAAGGTCTGACGAGACATTACTCAAAATCTGTTTTGTATATCTTCGTAATGTATGAATAATATTCAAAATTTTAATAACATTCTGATTTCTGAACCAGTTTCTAAACATTTTTTTAAAAATCCAAACACTTAAACATCTGAAATTGGAAAATTGTTTTTCTTCCCCAAAGGATTATATAAGAAAAACTACCTCTGGTATCTTGCAGAAATGCCTGGTAAGGTACCTCAATTTCTTGTGAGTAAACATGTTTAAGTAGCAATACTTCAATGACGAACTCTTAGAAAAAGTTATCTATTATTAAGGAACGTCTCATCTGTCCTTAAGTGACCTTGAACTTGCACAGATGACATTGGGTCAAGGGCATGACTTAATAAGGAAGGCACATTTTAACAGCAAAAAACGTTCTGGTTCACTACAGTGTCTATATGAAATTTTGATTCTCCATGTTTCTGGGCCTATTACTTAGTCTATGATTGAATTTTTCAGCATAGATAAAAATGTCAGCAAAAATATGTCTTTTAAAATATTTCAGAGTATGAAAATGGTTAAAAATTCAAAAAAGCAAGATTATTTTGTCGTACTCCATATCTGGAGACGGAAAATTATGTACTTTTAAAGACAATTGTTTAGGTTAAACAACAAAAAAATTAATTTACAGAAAATCCTATCATTCATTATTTGAAAATTTAAGTTGAAATGCAAGTTCGTTATGTAATTGATTAACTGCAAAAATATCGATTGGTGAAGCTGAGCCAATATTGCACAGGGCATACTTAAACAAGACATAAACATGAGAAAAATGTGTCATGTTTACATTTCTTGAGTACAGGAAAACCAAACTATGACAACACATATTTGCGAAATAAGCGAGATAAGACATATTAACTACAAAATACTTCCATCAACATCCATGTAAAAATACTTTTTGTGTTCTGTAATTCATAAAATAACTCATCACGTACAGATCATCACCCGTTTTTATGATATTTTACTACCCAATCTTACTGTACTGAGAGATCCACTATGACATCAAGGACTTGCTGGACGCGCAGTGTAGGGAAACAGAAAAGCGGATCAATCTATTCCGTAATTTGATATTTGCAAGAAAGTTTGAATGTTATTAGATATTTTTAGGCAAGATGGTGAACTCAAACAAAGTCAAATTATTTTACAAATACTGTGGTTTCAATCTGGTTTTGTACATATTTTATCAGAGATTATGACGTAATTGAACTGAGTCATGTGACCATGCATCCTTCGTCCCCTTAAGACTCTTATTATTTGAAATTTTCAAACAATGCATAGAAATTCCAAAAGTAGGTCACCATGACCTTTTTATTAGACACATTCTGAGGACCCAAGATGCATCAATTGAACAGAGTTTCTTAGCTTAAAAGTACCTGATTGTGAAATATTTAAAAATTTCCAAAAGAATTCAAAAGTAGGTCATTCTGACCTGCTTTTTAGTTGACATTCTCCAAGACAAAAGATGCATCAACTGACAAAATTTAATGATTCTAAGCCAATAAGTACTTTAGATATTTAAATATAGCCATAAAATGTCAAAAGTAGGTCACCATGATGAACTTTTTGGTTGACATTCTCCGAAAATCTAAGATGCATACATACTGACAAAGTTTGATGATTCTAAGCCAATTAGTACCAGAGACAAAATACATGAATATAACAAAAATATAATAAAATTTCAGAAGTAGATTACCCTGACCTTCTTTAGGGATATGTTCTCAGAAGACACAAGATGCATATGCATCAACTGACAGAGTTTGATGACCATATGTCTGTAAGTTTTCAAAATCATGCCATGGTGAAAACAAATGCCTGCAAAAATTAAAAAGTAGGTCACTCTGATCAACTTTTCAATATTAATGTTTAAAGGCCCCAAGATGCATCTTCGTACTACAAAGTTTGATGATTTTAAACTTCTCGGTATCTGAAATAATTGCCTTAAATGTTTTAGAGGAGATTAGCTAATTCAAAAAGTTGGTCATGGTGACCTACTTTCAAGCTGACATTGTTTGAGGACACATGATGCATTAACTGACAAAGTCTGATGGTCTTAGGTCTTAAAGTTTCCAAAATATTACTCCAAATCAACTTGAAAACAAATTTGACTTACTTTTGAGTTAACATGATACGACGTCCTACGATGCATCAACTTACAACACTTGATGGTCCTAGTCTTTATAGTAAGCAAAATATCAATGTTTAAAATTATAAAGTGATCTTTAGACCATGCCTTTTGCCCCAGGGTGATGCCTTGAACAATTCTTAATCTTCAACATATTCTCCTGGGTTGGGACGATACACAGATCTTGCGATTTATATGTATCTCAATATCAGCACGATAGCATACGTATAGGTCTCGATATTACGGTAAAGGTTATAAAACTATTTTAAAAGTTAAGTTTTTTATTTTATTTTTTGTTTTGACATTAAATCAACATGATAAACTATAAAACTAATCAAAAGAATATATGTATTTTATTTCATTATAATTGTCTTGAAATTAAATCAACAAATTGATCTTTATCAAATCATGTGTGCTCTGAAATAAATACTTGAAGTTCATCAATTTCATTGACTAAAACTTTACAAAAACAATAATACATGTACATATTATTATTACCAAATTTCTATCACAAGTTGTTTTCAAATATGTGTGTAGTTCATCAAAGAACACAGACTAATGATTGATTGATTGGATATTGTTTAACGGCCCTCTTGAGAATTTTTCACTCATTTGGAGATGTCACCGATGCCGGTGAAGGGCTTCAAATTTAGACCTATACTCGGCACTCAGGGCCATTGAGCAGTGAGGGTTCTTTATCATGCCAACGCCTACCGTGACACAGGACCTACGTTTTTAAGGTCATACAAAGTGTATCCGAAAGACCCAAGACTTTCACTTCTAGTGCCGAGCAATTGGCGAAGGAACAGTCACTACCTATGTTTACGTCTTAGGTATGACGCGGCGTCGCGATCGAGAATCGAACATGGGCCTTCCGATCACGAAGCGAACGCTCTACCACTAGGCTACCGTGACTGGTGAACACAGACAAAAAAATTCATTTAAAAACATCACAGTAACGTTATTATTAATTGCTGATAAGTCTGTAGCCAAGTTGAGATTACAAAAAATGTACGAGATGCTTAAAAGTGAAAGTGTTTTACCCCTAATCAACGACTTTAGTTCTACAGTGTGTTTTCAATATCAACATCATCTCTTCACCTTGTACAAGCCGCCCTTTTCCAAGGAAGGTGCTTTCATTTTCAATTTTTGGATAGGTGATTCGTTTATCGTTTCGTACCGATGTTTGAATGCTTGAATCAAGTGTATCGTGAACCTATCTTAGAGGAAAATATCAGTATGTATCGTTGTATCGGAATATTGTCCCATCCCTTATATTCTCATATTTGTTTGTAGGTTTTGTGATTATCTGCCTGGTGGTTCTTGAGTAGGATTTAAAGCAACCAGTACTTATAATTTTATTTACCTAATTATCTCCCCTTCTTTAAGGTTCCCAACCCTAGTTTTGATATAAACTGGAGCCCATGGGCAAAGGATACCCTGTGACTAATTTGACAATGATTGGCCAAGGGGTTTTTGAGTTAGGGCTCATATTCTAAAAACTTTATGCACACTAAACAAATGGCCATAGCATTAATTAGCTCTTTGAGCCTTGCCTCCTTCCAAATAACATTTCTCCACCAATAAATTATAGCTGTACACTGCTTTTTTTAATGGAAGAAATATGATTATCTCCCTAAGATCATACTCTACCTAAAGTGCATAAGGCCAAAATACAATATACTCTTGTTTCCTGTCATCCGACCTACCCTACATTTATCCTCCGACCCTAAAAGGTTTTTTTTTTTTACATTTTCATTTTTGGGGGGCTATATTTCTGACAAACAAAACTCGGAAAGTTGACCAACAATATTTACAGAACTTATACTAACATCACAAGTGTACAGGATACCTTTAGTGGCTTTACTTTATAAATCTTTATTAACAAACTTGCTTTGTACACTGTTAACATACTGTTTTCTTGTTATTATATACTATATCAGCCTATATGTTCTGCATTCATTGAACTAAAATAATTTCTTTTTTCTCAAACATTTCTCAAATTTTTTTTCCTACATCATAACATGTACATACCTATCCTATCTTTTTGGTCAGGGACAGGAAACGAGTAATTTTTCTTTTGGCCTAGTGTATTAGAATAATTAGGTCTTAATGATTGCTTTTAATATGTTTAATGCAACATGCAAACATGTGATTATGAGACCTAGTAGTCATTAAGCTTTATACCTCTCTTTTGAAGGGGCGTAAAGCAACCTCTAAATCTTGCAAGATTTCTGGGGCTTTGTACAGTAGTAACAATCGAATCATTCAAAAATCATTAGGCCACGGAAAGTACAATGTATTGCCATGAATCCAAGCAGTAGACTGTTAAATTAGGAAAGTTAAGAGTATTTTATAGTCTCCCTTTTAAATTCCATAAGGATTGATCTTGCATTGTTTTCATAAAGCACAATGTCTCCATTCAACAGACATTTCATACCTCTACCGCAAAAGAGTTTGGCTTAGTAAAGTAATTGCAATATCCAGTATTTTTCAGTAAAATCAAATACATGTATTGATGTTTATTTGCAATAAAGCCTTCTTGCAATTTTTTTGGCATAATTAGGAATGCATAAATATGTATGCAAGTATGTTCTAAAGTATGCCCAGAGAAGATCATGGGGGAAAAATATCTACATTCAAAATAATTTTAATGACAAATGTCCAACCTCTGGATGGTGAAATCCTGTGTGGTTTCTTTTTTGTTGCATACCATGTCTGCAGTTTCTCTATTTGACACTTGGCTGACTTGTTAGTCACTTCAGTTTCCCTGTACACATTTCCAATTGGAGCTGTCAGAATACCTGGAAAATACCTCAATTATACATTTATGTCTAAAAAATTTTCAACCAAAAAGAAACAAAATCTAGATTTAAAATGTTAATCAAGCAAAACCCTTCCCAAATGATGCATTTGTCATGTTTTTTTTTTCAAAATAAAAAGAAATTTTATATCTCTTGACTTCTTTTTTCAGTCTAAGCTATAAGTAAAATATGATACTTGTCAATGAGTGTTCCAAGGAATGTACAGTGGCTGGAACGTTATTGTTGACAAACCAATCGTGTAAAATCGTTCGTGCATCGTGCGTGATCGTTCGTGTAACGTCCGAGATCGTGCGTGTAACAAACTGAATCGTTTGCGGTTTTAATCATGCGTGAACGTGCGTTTAGAAACGTGTAAATTTTGTTTTGTAAGTTTTTAGCGGAATGTTATCTGTGAAACAAGTATTTCGTTTATATTTTATTTTTTAATCCAAATAAAAGGAATGAAGAGCAGTTTAATTAATTGAATGCGGAACGAACTAACTATCGCTTGTAAACAAACAATATAGTAAGTCTTACAATATTATGTTCTCATCAAATAGCGTGACTTATTATGATAAACCGTACTAAGATGTTTTACTATATCTTTCTGAAGTTCATTCTTGTTTGCTTATTATTGTGGTAAGATTTTTTTTCAATTTTCAAATAATCAAAAAGAAATATTTAATATTTTTACAAATAAATAAATATTTTTCAAAGCTTACATAAATGTTTAGTCGGCAAATGTACATGCACGTCACGCAGATGATTCTCGGGGTTCTGTTTAACAGTGTTTATCTCTTTAGCTTACTTTTAATTACCGTAATTTTTAAAGTAAAACAATAATTTGCAATGTCGTTTTAGAGATTTATAAACATTTTGAAGTAATGAAAACATATAGATATAACTTTTAAGTTAAGTCATTCCATGCTGCCATTTTTTTCCCAATCGTATCCCCCATTCTACATATTAAGAAATCCAATTCAATCAAATTTTACGGTCCACCTACTACTATCTTCTGATAGAACAAAAAAATCAGTTTTCTTATGTCGGAGAATTATCTAAATAATTATTTATTATCTAAAATAATAATAAAAAAAACCTTACATGTATTTAGTTCCAGAAATACCCATTTCCGTTTTTTTTCAAAGTCGATGATATAATATATTTATTGATAATTCTTTGAATTTAAATTCAATATAAAGCCGTATTTCGTTTTGGAAATATTGATTCCTAAATAATTTGAACTATTTTGAGTGAAGAATCGTGCGTTTGCGTAAGCAATCTTGTAAGATCGTGTAACGTTTAGAATCGTGAATGTGAAGGATCGTTCGTGTATCAGGTTTAATCGTGCGTTAATCGTGCGGAATCGTGCGTGTAACGTGATGGTGCGTGTAAGTTGTCAACAATAACGTTCCAGCAACTGTATGTGTCACCTGCTTTTAGCTTCTTTAAAGATGTAAAGAAATCAGTTATCTAAGAGTGGTCAGCTATAAAATATGCTACAAGAATATACAGTATTTCAAGCAAAAAAATCTACCATGATAGTTCATAAATGCACAAAAAACATCCACACATCATGCACATATTTAAAACTGCAATAAAGTCTGTCAATCAAAAAATTTAATGATTCCCAACCTTCAAATAAACAATGAAGTTGAAACCATCATTAATAATTATTTATCTTTTTACAAAAATTGTGTTAAAATACGTGATATACATCAATTGTCACTCTACATGATCTGTTGTTGAATCCCAATCCCAACGTATTTTCATATATAAATAAAGTGCCGCGCCACAGCATGATACGCCCGTCAAAAGATTACAATTTTCTTGAACAGTTTAGCGTGCAAGAAAATCACGTCAACCTTGATTCTAAGATTTACATGATTTTTCCATTCCTTAAAATATTTATCCATCCCTGTGATGTAGGCATTAATTATAATGAATATTACATCACTGATAGATTTCTATGCTGGTTGTGTTAGACCTTGTCAAATGCCCATCATCAAATAAGTCTTAACAACTGAATGTACACCAAATTAATTTTGAAAAAAAAAAGACTGGCCATCAAATGACATATGTTATAAACTGACCAGCAGTTCTTCTGTCTAATCCCCAAAGGGTACAGATAAGACGCTAGCCTTCCTACATTGAACTCATTAATTAATCTTTAACTGGATGCTTGTCTACTCATTACTACCAAGAGATGAATGGGTCTGCACAATCTACTATAATTTTTTTTTTTAACATATAAAATACTCAAAGATTTTTTTTTGGTTGAGATTTAATGTCCGACAGGTTTTAATATGTAATTCATATGGACATGCTGATTTCACCCAACCCCATAAAATTAGTTTTTAAATAATGTTACATAATATCAGATTGGTCTATTATGCAGTATCAAATTTGTTTTAATTACTTTTCATCAAATTCATTTTAAAACTTAAGCTAGTCAGCAAGAGCTATTTTTAATCAAACAGGCTTACCCATTTGCCCAATACTCAAGGGACATAGATAACACCAATGCTCCTCGCACTCAAAACCCATTAATTTCTCTCTAATTTGACATGCAATTTTCTGTTATCAAAATTCTTCTTGACCAGTGCTTGATAATTACACTCATGGGAGAGGTAGGATTTCTCTAACATACATTTTATTTGTTAAAGATTGCTGCCAAGTATATGCTTAAAAAAAATAAGTATTTTCTTGATTTAACACTTTTTTAATAAGGACAGTACAATACTCTTACATTATTTGGGATGTTTAAATGAATAGTAAAAAGACACTTTTTTTAAAAAAAAAATTCACTTAAATTAAAGGTCACAGTGACCTTGAAATAGGTCGCGACACACCTTCTACCTAAGATGCATAAACTGGCCAAGTTTGATGATTGTAGGTCTTATGGTTTTCTAGTTATGGGCCGGAAAGGATTTTTCCATATTTGGCTATAACTTCTTAATTAAAGGTCACAGCGACCTACTTTTTGTGCGCGACACACCTTCTACCCAAGATGCATCAGATGACAAAGTTTGATAATCCTAGGCCTTGTAGTATTAAAGTTATGAGCCGGAAACGAAAAAGCTAACAGACAGACGGACAGACGGACGGACACGAAGCCTATAACATAATACGTCCCGTCTTAAGACGGGCGTATAAAATCAGTTGGTGTGGTAACTGAATATCATACAGTTTCAACAATTGTTCAAAGAACAGTATTATATGAGCTCATAAACATGTATAATTGTTAATTATAAACACCCACAACTAAGCATTTAACTGCATTAAGTTAAATGTCCGGGATATTCTTTGAAAAGAATGTCAATGGTCAATGTCAGGTGAATTGTAACGCTGGTATTTTTTCATCTTTTATGACAATTAGTGAACATGCTACATAGCATTGAATTACCCCTTAAATGTCAAAAATATGCTGTAAATCAGTCAGGGGCATAACTTAAACAAGTTATTTTCCAAAATAACTCAAATGAGTTATTTTTTTGTCTCAATGAGTTACTTCTCTTTGCTATGACCTACTTTTTCCTAACCTTAATAACTCAAACACGTTATTTTTCCAAAATAGCTTCAATAAATAAATAACTTATTTAAGTTATTTTGTGTCATTCTTCCCTAACTTCACACCCTGTGCACCAAAGGATTTTGCTCGTGCACCAAGACAAAAACAAATGTTTGACTAAGTAAAAACCTTGCTCAATGCAGAAAAAGTGTCCAAAGTCTTGGGAAAAGTGGGGAATTTTTTTTATTTAATGATTAAAATTGGACATATACACCATGTGGATAAAACGACAAAATAAGGAGTAAAATGCTGTTTATCTCCACCTCCTCACCAATTCTACATTGGAGTCGGTGAACTCCATCTAGTATTACATAATGGAATCCCAAAATGCAATGCAAATTGGCATTAAACACCAAATTTCCAAGAAATCAATGTCCAAGTAGGATATAAAAATAACTTATTTAAGTTATTTTTCAAAAAAAAATGTGTGTGTGAAATAATGTAAAATAACTCATTTGAGTTATTTTTGAAAATAACTTGTTTGAGTTTAGCTGCAATAATGTAGCCCTCTCCGATTTTTTTTATCTGATATTTTCTGGAGAGGGCTACAATTCCATCGCATCTCCGTAATGGTGCAAATATATTTTTTTGATACGGGTGATTGGAGGCAAAATAAATTATTTTTACATTAAACTTACTTCTTATAAGACGGAATTTTTATTCACTGTCAACAACATAGCCTGTTAAACTCGAAAACCATGTAAAATAAATCTGTGTCTTTCCCAGCTGCAATATTCAGCTGCCATGACAGTTCACGCGTGACGTAGTGAGACTTTCGCTTAAAATTTGGAACAACCAAATAAAGCAAAAGTCGATGTTTATAAACGATTGTGCTATAATATATTACAAAAACATCGATAAATAAAACCATTTCAAGTGTTATTTTTGCGAAAACAGCGATACGTATGCTTAAAATAAGGGAATTCCTAGTAGATCCGCTCCTATAGAACCTAAATTCTCATTGGCTGTCCCAAAATACAATCCATCAAGGTCAGTAAACATGGCGGATAAATTCAAGTTAAGCTGTTGACACACACGAAAAATAACCGATGTATGGGTTGTTGTGAATATTTTTGGATCGATTTATGTTTTGCATAATTACATATTTGGATTCCAGGTAAGAGATAATAATAAAATAGCCGTTTACTGATAATTTGAGCCGAAATCCGTGCGGGAGTGATCCACTGCCGCATCTGCGCCATTATAGAGATCCTAAGGAGTTGTAGCCCTCTCCCAACAAAAAAAAAAAAAAAAATCGGAGAGGGCTACATTATTGCAGCTAGTTTGAGTTATGCCCCTGACTGTAAATTGACAGTTAACTTTTTAGTAAAGTAGGTCAAGGGACAAGGTCAAGGGTCACAACCATGGCAATTAATTAACGAATGCCATTGTGTCAAGCAATATATGTGTAAAATATTAAGTCCGTATC